TATCTATCTATCTATCTATCTATCTATCTATCTATCTATCTATCATCTATCTATCTATCATCTATCATCTATCTATCTATCATCTATCATCTATCATCTATCTATCATCTATCTACCTATCTATCATCTCTCATCTATCTATCTCTCTATCTATGACAGAGAGACACAAACAGGGAGACAGAGATATTGAGAGAATGAGACATAGAGAGATGGAGGGAGGAAAGGAGGGAGAGAAAGAGAGGGAAAAGAAAAGAGAAGAGAAAAAGAAAGAGAGAGACTGGGATTATTATGAGGTGTTGGCTCATGTTTTGAGCCTGGTATGTTCAGAATCTTCAGGGTAGACTAGTAAACTGGAGACTCAAGGAAGACTTGCAGCTTGAGTCCAGAGAATTCCCTCCTTTTAGGGGGAAGTCTTTCTTCTTAAGACCTTCAACTTACTGGATGAGGCCCACCCATATTTAGGGGGGTAATTTTCTCTTTTCAAAATCTACTGATTCAAATGTTAATTCCATTTAAAAAATCTAGAATACTGTTTGACCAAATGTCTGTGTATTGTGACCTAGCCAAGTTGACGCATAAAATTATCTCAAAAATCAGGTAGAAAATATAATAGTTAAAATGAGAAATGAGAATTGATTGATCTTTCAGAGATACTCATCCAAACACTGCACACTGATAGGAACTATGGAAGAACAGTTCAGAGACCCGCGGATACATGTGAGACATACCCTTGGTAATAGAATCTTACTTGTTGAGTATCACTGTAAAAATATCCCTCAACTCCAGATAAATTAACTTAATGTGAAATTTAACATTATATAGCAAATATGAAGAAATAAAGTTTATTGAACAAGAATTAATTAAACATCAAGAAGTAACAACAATAAGGTGAAAAATAGATTTGTTTTCACCAAATTTAAGGATTTTGGTTTAACTAAAACACTATGGACAGATATAATGCATAACCAAACAATAAAAGAAAACACTTTCACTGTGTTAAACCAATAGTGAGTTGATATTTAGAATATAGAAAGAACTTCTTTACAGCTGCATAGTATTCCATGGTGTAAATGCCCCACAGCTTTTTTATCCACTCATCTACTGAGTAGGCTGTTTCCAGATCTGAGCTATTGTAAATTGCGCTGCTATGAACATAGGGGGCGCATATATTCTTTCTGATTGGTGTTTCGGGATTCTTAGGATATATTCCTAGAAGTGGGATCACTGGGTCAAAAGGCAGCTCCATTTTTAATTTTTTGAGGAACCACCATACTGTTTTCCATAGTGGCTGCACCAGTCTGCATTCCCACCAGCAGTGTACCAGGGTTCTCCTCTATTACCCTTTGGGACAGTGTGGATGGACCTGGAGAATATTATGCTGAGCAAAATAAGCCAGGCAGAGAAAGACAAATATCACATGATCTCATTTATATGTGGAATCTAAAGAACATAATAAACTGGTGAACAAAATAGATTCAGTGACATAGAAGCATGGATCAGACCTATAAATCTCAGAGGGAAGGAGGGGTGTGTGTGGGTGGGGAGAGATTAACCAAAGAATTTATACGCCTATATGCACAATCCAAGGACACGGACAATAGTGTGGTAAAGGCCTAGGCCTGGGAGTGGGTGTGGGGTGGTGGGGGACAATAGGAAAAAAGGAGACATCTGTAATATTTTCAACAATAAAGATAAATAAAAAAAAAGAACATAGAAGAAACACTTGAAATCAAATAAAGGAGAAAAAATCAAATAGAGAAAAAAATTGATTAAAGATACAAACAGGCAATTCACAGAGAGGAAATGGCTAGCAAGTATATGAATAAATATTTAAACTCATAAGTAAAGAAATTAAAATGTTTAAAAAGGTGATACCTGTTCATAGCCATTGATTGGGTTAGCAAAAAGTAAATAGTTGGATAGTTTCAACTGGTATTAAGAATTTTGGAAAACTGGACTGCTCAGGCACTGTTTGTGGGAGTTCATGCTGCTTTGGCTATTTTAATGGCAACACTTTAGTACATTGTCAGCTTATTTATATTTATACTCTGTCTACATGCATTTTATACCTGGCTGTGTACAACACAAACAGGGCCATAAAAAGCCAGATATAATGAAGTGGGGATTTGAAAGTGGTCTTTAATTCCCTAAGTAGGGATTGTATAACTAAAATTTAGTAGATGTATGCTATGGATCCCTAAAATAAATTAGAAGTAGCAAACTAGGTGTAAAGTCAGCAGTACTAATAACTTTTAAGAACACATGCTTAATGAAAAAGTAAGAAACAGAATGTGTTGTTAAAATAAGATGATTTACATACATTTAACTTATTCTCACAAAACATCTGGGCATATTTTTTTACTGGACATATAAAATACAAGGATATACATTCAATACAGTAAAGTATTTGCATTTGGGAGACTGAATTGAGAACAGAATAAAAAAAGGGATTTTTAAAATATTAATAAATGTAGAACAAGATAGATGCCTTACACAGAACAATGGTTAGTGCTTGCCAGATAGTATAATTGTTTTTTTCTCTATATATGAGAATAATAACAATAGGATAATAAGAAATATTAAAGATACATAGATGGTGAGTAAGTAGGACAAAATATGCTCCTCACCATATATCATTAGATAACTGCAAATTAAAACAGCAAGATACCATTACGCAGCTATTAGCACATCTAAAATCCACAGAACTGGCAATAACAATTGCTAGTGAGGATGTGAGCAGCAGGAATTGGGAGTGCAAAAATGCTGCAAAATAATTACAGAGATATTAAAGCACAGCATAGGGAATGTAGTCAATAATATTGCAATAACTAAGTATGGTGCCAGGTGGGTACTTGAAGTATTAGGGGAACCCTTTGTAAATTATGTGATTGACCACTGTGCTCTACACCTGAAACTAATATAAAATACTATTGAATGTGAACTGTAATTGAAAAAATAGACTGACAGCTGTCAGAGGGGAGGGTGACTGGATGAAAGAAGGTGAAGGGATTCTCCAAAAAACGAATATACGTAACACATAGACACTGGCACCAGTGTGGTGACGGCCAGAGGGGGCTGGGGCTAGGTGGAGGTGGGCAAAGGGTGGGGGGAATGGGGACGGAAAGAGACTTGGCTTGGGGCGATGAGCGCAGGAGGCAGGTGCAGATGAGGATTTATTGAGCTGTACACTTGACACCTGTAAGATTTTGCAAACCAATGTCACCCCAATAAATTCAATTAAAAATAAATAAAATGATAAATTAGTAAATAATAATAATAATAATAAACACAAGAAAGACTTTAGAAGACAGTTTGATAGCTTACTGAAAACTCCAGCAATCTATCTCCTAGGAGTTTACTCATCTTATTTGAA